TTTATCCTGAAGAGTGCACACCAAATGAAAATCTAATCAACGCCTCCTTTATAGAAAATCATTTATCTAGCAGTAGCTTCACGCAAAGTGGTTCACTAGTTTGCTCTGCAGGCAAACCGTTGGTTAAAAATAACTCAGACGCTCGAGGAAATAGCATTTTCTTGGATGATACCGTCATTGATGAAGAATTGCTTTTAAATATAACGACCGACGAAATCCCAAAACAATTAAATACAAGCCGTAAGTAGAAATAAATGTTTTAAGCTCTGCAGTAGCTGAAAACTCTGCCACCACATTTAGTATGTGCAGAAGACATGGAACTCCTGGATATTCTAAAGCAGTTAGAAGAGCACGAGGAAGATGAAAATCATATCGACTTGGATAGTACGTTAGCACCACTCACACAGGCACCTAAAAAATGTAAGCTTCAAAATAGCCACTTTTTTTTTTGAATATGAAAAAATTCACATCTTAATGCCCTAATATTTGCACTTAAATAAAAAAAATAAATATATCAACTTGTATTTAGTTAATCCCTCACCGGAGTTATTAGATAAGCAAGTGGGAGCAGCAGCTGTCAGTCAACCTTTTCCAGATAGTGACACCGATTCCAATGAAGATGAAAATGGGAATCCCCTTGACTTTTCCATTGCCTTAGAGAACATGGATGAATTAATATTAAAATTTACACAAAGCCAACCAACAGAAGAAGGAGGATCTAGGATAGATTTTCCTCAAGTGGATGGCTCGGATGATTTGGTACCAAAAACTCCTACTAAAACTGGAAGTAGACTGAGAGAGGGTAACAGTAAAAATGTGAAAACATCCCCATGTACGCCAAGAACTCCTAGCCGAGGGAATCTCTCACCGAAGCGATCACCGCGCACTCCAAAGTCGAGCGCAAGCAAGAAATATGCGCCATTACCGCTAAAAATCACTTGCAAAAAGACTGATAGTAAGTGAGCGGTTACAAATTTAAAATTTTTAATGCTTAGTTAATATTTTTAAAATTTTTTTAATTAATTTAAGAGAGCGAAAATAAGGGCAATGAAATAACTCCAGTACGGCGTTCAGTTATGAGAAATTTAGATATCGGTTCTAGCGTCTCTAAAAGGTTTGCTCACTGCAGATAAATCGTAGTTAAATGAAAAAATAACGGTCACATTATTTCAGTGCGAAAATTACTCTGAGTAAAAAGCTGGCAATAACGGCATTGCGTCGAAAAAGTGTCGATTGGAGTCCAAGTACAATGCAGCAACAGCATATTTCAAGAAACGAAGAAAGCGGAAGTGTGAAACGGTAATTATCGATTTTTTAAAACTCTTCAATAGAGCTGGGCTGGGATTGGGGCGTTATTAAAGCACTGCATTTAAAGCCTTATCTTGTGAAATAAAATCTTGCATTTGCTAATTGGAAGAACTCGCATGTCCGTCGGCAGTCTTAAAATACCCATATATATATATATCTAAGAGTCATCCTAACAGCTGCGAGCCCACATAAGCGGTCTAGCAAATAGCTCAAATGACTTCTGTCGTAGCTACGATACGGCAGCAGGAACCGCGCTCCTCTACCCCGTACCTAAAGTTGTCTGGCTGGGTTTCTGGAGAAAATTTTTGTTATAATTTGTTGAAAAAACCTCAAGGTAAAGTCTTCCTTGCCCATATGATTGGCATGTGCTAAAAAATAGTTTTTGGCACTTTCTGACGAACGTGTAATTTTGAGTTGTGTTTCTTTTGAAGACGGTGTGCGATATATAATCTGACGATATGTATCTATTACCAGTATCTCACTAGATCAAAATATGTATTCATTTTTATTATGGCGGTATATGTATGTAAATTCAAAACTTTATCTCGAGTATTCCTTTTTTAAGTTATATCAATATTGAAGTAAATGAGCGATGTGTCGAAGGTTTTCATTTATTTTTCAATGTTGCAGCACACCTATTCGACGTTCTAGAAATACTAAGGATTTAGACAGAACGCACATTACCTGCGAGTTAACACCCCGGAGAAAAAGTGAACGGATCTTAAAAGTCTATAGCATTGAAGAAGCAGTATCGAAGGAAATTAAACCGCCAGCCAATCAAATTCAAAGTATATGTCAGAATTATGAACCCAATTCTGTTACTGAAACATCACATTCGAATAGTCCTCGTGATATAAAAGAAACAGCTGGGCTAAATACCACAAGAAAGAGGAGTATACGGCTCGTTGATGATAGTCGAACTGTTAGCCGGTATAGTTCTACGACTTCGCAAATTCAACCCGGGCATCCATGTGTAACCGAAAGAACTCAGTCACTCAACATTCGAAAATGTGTAGTAAAACTTAGGAAAACTGTAATTCGAACAAATGGCGTTAGTCCGAAGAATCCTGCAGCGGTACAGAAAGTAGCTGGCAAAGGGGGCGGCAAAGAGAAACAAATTACAATGCTTAAACAACAGCAACCAACAAATGGCATTTCCATTCCTACAGGCCATGAATATAATTTAAAAGAAAATGACGCACAATTGTGGCTTGAAGAGAATACCGCAAATCCTCTTAATGAGTCAAACGAAAGTGACGAAATTGCGGCATCAGATATCGAGGATGACACTAACTCAATCGGCGCGAAACGTCTCCGGAGGAGCTTTCATCTGGTACAGCGAAAGAAGATGCTCAAAAACAAGGTCGTTTCAAACAATTACATTCATGAACCAGCTGAAGGAGTCGATGAAATTAATGAATTTTCTGCTTCCCCAACAACGGATGTTAGAATTGATGATGACTATGCAGACATTGATAACTTGCATATTCAAAGCTTTTATGATGCTTCATTTACGGAAGACTTAAGTAGCCCACTTAATTATAGTGACGGCTCTAGTCACGTCATAGATTTGGCACGCCAAATCCACTCATCAAATCAGATATTCAGAGAAGAGCCGATTAACTCGCTGGAATGTTGCCAACGTATCGGTCACGCTAACCGTGCAGAACAAAAACTAATAGCAACAAGTAATATTAATAAGAGTAATGTGTCACCGCTAATATCGGAGCCTGCATCGAGTTTATCGGAGCATTTGGTACAACTTACACCTATTCATTTGCCACCAACTTTTGATGAGGTATTGGCAAGTTGTGTCAAACTGGACATTCCTGAATACGAATTTCAAAGGCCCTTCTACGGCAATCCGGACGATATAACACAGCTGAAGGAAGTCGGACATATAGTCTTGCATATTCCAGGTAATCCAACATTTTTGAAGCTTGTTTTATTTATATATATATATATGGGTGATTCCATACAATATTTACACCTCAATATTTTTTTTTTGGGGTGAAATATATTTTTTTACATTCTTTATCGAAAACAAGAAGACACCTATTTTTTTATTTCGTCATGACATTCCAAAATCTCGAAAAAAAAGGAACAGTCCAGCGCCTTCGTCTTGGTCTGCAGGCTATATCGGAGATACACCCGCTAAATTTAAACGTAGAATACGTGGTATGGTTAAGAGCATATCCAAGTCAAAAACGAAAGCACAAACTAAGAAAAAAATATCGATAACAAAAGCGATAATAAAATCGATAACAAAATCGATAAAAATATCGATAACAAAATCGTTAACTAAATCGATTACAAAATCGATAAAAAATCGATTACAAAATCTATCGAAAAATCGATTACAAAATCGATAACAAAATCGATTCCAAAGTCAATAACAAAATTGATAACAAAATCTATCAAAAAATCCATTACAAAATCGGTAATAAATTCGATAAAAAAATCGATAAAACTATCGATAACAAAAGCGATGGCAATATCGATAGCAAAATCGGTAAAAAAACCGATAAAAATACCGACAACAAAAGCGATAACAATATCTATAGAAAAATCGATAAAAATATTGATGACAAAAGCGACAAAAATATCGATAACAAAAGCGATAACAATATCGATAGCAAAATTGTTAAAACAATCAAGAAAAATATCGATAACAAAACCGATAAATAATCAATAATAAAATCAATAACAGAATCGATTACAAAATCGATAACAAAATCGATAAAAATATCGATCATTATATCGATAAGTTCCGAAAATATCGATAGCAAAATCAATAACAACATCGATACAAATTTCGATAACAAAATCGGTGAAAATATCGGTAACAAAACCGATAAAAATATCGATGGCAAAATCGATTAAAATATCGGCAACAAAATCTATAAAAATATCGATAACAAAATCGATAGCAAAATCGATAACAAAATCGATAAAAATATCGATAACAAAACCAAACAGATCCACATTAACTGAAACTTTCATATGTACGTATATATGCATTTACATATGTACATACGCTGCGATCAAAAGCCGCATTACATACGCATACATACTTTTTGTCTCCTTCCCACACTTCCAACATATGCACGTGTTTGCAAAATGATGACGAGGTGATTTTGTATGGAAAATCATTTATGCCCATATATTTGAATAAAATAAACATATATAGAAGATATCAACCAATACTTCCCATATACCAAACGAAAGGAAAACTCTTGAATTTTTGATTAAAGAAAACAAAAACAAAATCATTCGAGCGGTTTTCGAGCATTTTGGTAATGAAAAAAATTTGCAAATTTTTTCAACAATTTTTTGCCTTAAAATGCTCAATATTTGTTAAATTTATATAAAATTTGTACCCGATAATATTTCTACTGCTCCAAAGAACCTATATCCCGAAAATGAAAGTTATATATGCCAACAATAAGTTGCTAGAGCACTTTAAAGGCTCAAAATTGACCCCAAAATAAGGCAATGTTTACCGTTGTTTTTACGACAGAAACCGAATTGGTTATTTACAAAAATGAATCTGTCGACAGGTTTGGAATTTTATCTTTGAAACGCCACACTTTTCTTTGAAATCGCTTTATTAGTTCTCGTGCAATAAGCGTTTTTGTGAAGCTCTAAAAATTACAACTACAACATTTGAACATAGCCCCCATACCTTAAGGTAAGACGTATTCTACGTCAAAAAAATCCCGAAAATTGAACTCACGGAGAAGTACCTTTTTTTTTAATTGTTTGGAGTTAATAAACTATTTGTTGTAGAAAATCAGTTAAGGTATCAAAATGTGCGTAATTACCTCAGCTTTCCATGAGAGTGTGAGATAGATTAAAATAAAATAAAAAATTGTATTAAAAAATCGATTTTTTTTTATTAACTTCATCATGTTTGATTTTTATTTTTTTCAAAAAAAAGATACTTCTCCGTGAGTTCAAAATTTCGGGATTTTTTTTTGTTGAGATTTTCGAATATCATGAAATAAAAAAATAGGTGTATTTTTTCGATAATGAATAAAAAAAAATATATTTCATCCCAAAAAAAAAATACTGAGGTTAAATGTTGTATATATGCAAATGCAATACATATATCGTCGTTTAAAGTACAAAACCTCGTATCAAGATAATTCAAAACCGCGTATGTGAGGTTGCGTAAATTTTGCAGTAGACCTGTCTTATTTCAAAACGGTTATCTCAAGAAAAAGTTGGTCATCTGAGTGGAAGTCCTGAATACCAGGTCAGCAAAATACTATGAATAGGTCCTAAATAAAAATAAACTACTTAGTATACTTAAAGAGATTTGGCAAAAAAAAACACCCTAAAGAACTATTTTCCAAAAATATTTAGACTTACTAGACAATTTTGGTTGCCGGCAATAAGAAAACGTGTCCCCTCATCAACAAGTTTATTTATTTATTATCGTCATCGTATCGATTTCTTAAGCCGATGCCAGATAAAACTTTGTGGCTTTGCGTGACGCAAAGGTATGCCACAATGAACGCCAAGAAAACAATTTTGTGCTGCTTTTTTACTCATCGAAATTGCTGTGGATTTCATATATTTAGCTTTAAAATGATCAGCAATGTAATTAAGTTTTGTGTTTCTGCATGAAAACTCGAATTTGAACGAAACAAAATAAATATTCAGCCTCATTGCGTGAGTCGCAAATTAGGCTAAATTGTACGACTCGACAACATTGGCATTGTCTACTGTCGTGCAGAAATAAGTAAACGACGACAATCGTCGAAAAATATGCAGTGCTGCCAAGTTTTTCCGTATTAATACACTAGTGGAGTGGAAATTTCAGGCAATGATGTGAATTTTTCGATACGATTCGACTCTCGAAAAACGACTTGCATTCGGCCCGACTCTCGCAATGAGCAGTAAGAGCTAGTACCGTCCGAAAGCTCAACAGTACAGATATATCAATTAATTAATTTTTGTATTTTTCGGATTATGACACTACTATTGAAGTAAATTAGCGATATGTATGTACATATTTGTTATTTATATGTAAATAACAGGAAGCAAGCTTAACGACTGCGATGAATTTAAAAGTGTTTTGGGCGATGAACTGCGCGGCCTTACTGACTGGCGCCGTCGGAAACTGTTGGCGATTAGCGGTACTTCCGCACTCACCGTACCATCGCAACGCAATACTCAAAGCGTTCGTGAGTACTTTGCCGAACCTAGAAAAATAATGATGACACCTTTAATTAGTCCGCCAACCCGTCAAGACGCCAAGTTGTGGCTGAAGGCCCGCGCGCTTTTGTCCAATGATGCTGAATGTACTCAGCGGAAAGGTAGTTTGGAGGAAAGTCCCATAAAAGTAAGACGTCAAAAGATAGCAATGATATTAAACGATAACATGGGCGAAGAAGGCGAAGGTGACGTGCTGGACAATAAAAATTTTATTACACTTACGCCGCCAACGCCAGCAGGTGATTTGAAAAAAACAACCAAATTAAAAAATGCGGCCCTTACAAGTTCGGATGCAAGTTTCAAATCTCTCAGAGGATGTGCGAAATTCTCTTTAGGTAAACGGTTCATGGCCAGTGCCAGTGCTGGGTTGGGCGTCCCATCATCGGATGACAGCTTAGCGGCTGCTCAAATAACGAAAGCTATAAGCGAGAAACCTAGGGCTTCTAACGACTCCACCGTATCAAGTCAAACCGTGTTGGATGCACTGAAACGACACTCATTTGTTAAAGATTTGCAGGGGAGCCCCTTGCATGCGCCCCTAAATCTCAGCTTCGGTTTAAGCAGCGCGTCGCTGGACAACTCCTTCGGCTTCAAAGTTAATTTAGAGAACTTGCAGCAAGCCAAAGCCGATGTAGAGGTAATATATGTATATGGAAAACTCGATGCTATATCGGCTAAATTTCAACTAAATTCTAGTGCAATTATATAACAACAGTTGTTCTTGAGCTATTTGTACCCACGCGCGGTAATCTGCTGCCAGATCCAGCGTTCGATGAAGTGCGTTGCCTCTTTTACGCCATCGAACATCGCTCGCCAGCAACGCCAAACGAAGACGCCGCTCATTTGCCACAAAATGCCTGTGGCTGCATCATTGTGAAGGATATTGACAGTGAGCGGGACTGCCGCATGTTTGGCACGGGCGGCAATGACGATATCGCGATGCGTTTCGTGCACAGCGAAATCGAAGCATTCGAGGCACTTGTGGAATTGTGTTTGCATTGGGATCCGGACATCTATGGTGGTTATGAAATCGAGACCGCCTCTTGGGGGTATGTGCTGGAACGCGCAAAGCAACTTGGCTTCAATATCGCACCCCTGCTGTCCCGGGTGCCAACTCAGAAAGTACGTGAATATGTAGATGAGGATCGGGAGCATTTCACAGATTTGGATATAGAGGTGAGTGTGACTGCGTTTGGACTGTTTTTATTGTACTATTAGTTGTATTATTTGGAAATACCTGCATATCATAGTCATCAATGCAAAAGGCCAATTTTTGCAAAATTCTAAATTTCATTTGAAACCATTTTTTGTATGTTCTTTTTGTGTAAAGCTACTTTTTATTTTAACTGACTTCAAAAAAGAGGAGGAGGTTATCAATTCCTCGGAATATTTTTTTTATGTATGTTACCGCGTAACTTTGGACTACGTTAACCGATTTCTATAATTCTTTTTTTTTTGTAAGGAAAGGTGATACCTCAGAGGCGGTCCCATACTAATTAGGTTTAGATCCGATCATTGGATCATAAAAAAATTAAATTAATTAAATTAAATTAATTTTTATGAGAATTGAAGTCGTTTTGTTTTGTGCTTATAAATTACTTGTAAAAGGAAACATTTTTTCTATTTTAAATGCTTGATTTTATTAAAAAATGGCTTAACCTAGAGAATAAAGTCATTTCATTGGAAGCAGAGGGTAATCCATGCATACTGTTTAAAATGCATGGAAGGGAACGCATTTTATAATAAAAAGCACATTGAACAGGTAGTATCAGCATAGCAGCTGATTCGATTTTTTTTTTCAAATAATTTGGTCTCGAAAATAAATCTGGCAACGCTGCCAAGTAAATTTAAGTGTGTTGTTTGTCGCGAAATAATAAAAGTTAATTCGTCTGGTATTCTATGTACTGAATGTAATAAATGGATCCATTCAAAGTGCACCGGTCTGGACTGCTAAGAATTTAAGCCTACTGCTTCGAAGGTCGGTCAAGAAAAGACTTTTAAGTATAAATGTACCGCCATCATAAGTGAGGTTACTGTCTATGTATCGAATGACATGTCAGAAGCTGATTGTGATGAGTTTGCCACCAAAATCATTGAGGGCATATTTGAAAAATACTTCATCCGTTCAAAATTGGCATTGAAAACAGCTTAGCAGATGTTAGGGCTGAGTTGAAGAAAATTAACAAACAAAACGAAACCATCACGAAACAGTACTCCGAAGTAGAGAAACGGGTTAGCGTACTCGAAAAAAAACCATAAGTAACATTGACTCCCGCACAGCTATTCCTGATAACTTCATAGCTGAAATAAACAACCGTAAGAAGAGCGAGAAAAACGTGCCGGAGTCCACGAAAACTGATGACGTCGACTGACTTAGAGATGACCGTGAGAAGTTAGCTGCTGCCTCAACCGGAATTGACGGATACTTTGCCAGCCCGGAATCTTCGTAGGCTCGGCCGTCCGTCCGGTAGTAGACCCCGACCGCTGCTAATATAAACACCCTCAGAGGTGGTTGCTAAATCATTATGGAGAGCAAATTCCAATATGTCCAATATTAAATTCAAACCTGACCTAACACTTGCTCAACGAGATCATCTAACTTCGATACGCAAGGAGCTCAGTGAATCAGGCCAGAAGGACAGCAAGACGATTAAATACATTGGTGGCATCCCAAGGTTGGTGGACAAACCGAAACCACACACGCAAGCGGGCAGACAGAGCGCCAAAAAACTAATAGTTTACTATCCGAATATAAGTGGGTTGCAGAGAAAGCTTAAGGATTTCTCAATCTCAACCGCAAGCCTCGGAAGCAGACGTTATATGTGTCGTCGTTGTTGTTGTTGTTGTTGTAGCGGCTACAAGAACCCCGCCCAGATCGGCTGATATCTCAGTCGTTGTCGTCGAGTTCCACTAACGGCAGCCCCAAGAAGCGTGCAGCCTCTATTGGGTCGGTCCATAGGCGTCCATAGGTGTCGTCGTGGCGAGTCGTGGTTGCACTCGTCTATCTCGGATGACGAAGTTATCGGTGGTACATAAGTTATTTTTAGAAAGGACAAGGATCAACTAACAAGCAAACAAACGACCGTGGTGGAGGTGTGTTCATAGCAGTCAAGAAGGGTATCCATGCTGAACTGGTAGCAACAGACAACGATCACATAGAGAAAGTACTAGTAAAAATCAGGGGTCTAAAATGTGATCTAGTCATAGGATGTGTATATATCCCACCTCATTCACAACCGGAGACGTACAAATCCCACTTAGAAAAAGTGTCTTATATCAATGCAACGAACTCGAATTGTAAACTACTAATCATTGGCGATTATAACTTTCCAAGTAGCTCGCGCCCTGAAAATTGTGAAATTTTCCCCACACCGAATATATTCTTAGTGGATGTCAAGAAGCTAACAACGTGCCAAATTCCAAAGGCCAGCTATTGGACCTTTGTTTCAGCAAGTAATATTTCGAAAGTATATATACCCACCGTCCATGTCCGGGTAATATTGGCATAGACACATCATATCTGACAGGAAGTGACGCTGATTTAAAAAATTTTGACACCTGCTACAACGACGTTTTTACACAGCTCTTAAACCTAAATGCTCGAAAAGGCGTAGGCCCAGATGGGTTGCCAAACGTGTTTTTGAAAAAATGTGCTATTTGCCTTTGCGAACCGATATGTCACATCTTCAGCAAGTCCCTTCAAACAGGGATCTTCCCTTCCGCTTGGATGTAGCTTATATTAGCCCTATTCATAAATCCGGCCCGAGATCGAATTTTTGTAATTATTGGCCAATATGCATCCAGTCGTCGCTGGGTAAGCTCCTGGAGAAAATGGTACTGCCTCATATGACCTTTGCCTTCAAAACCATTATAGCCACAAGGCAACACGAATTCAATGGTGGCAGGTCAACGGCTACTAACCTGTATAAGTATATTAATTACGCTTTGATTTCAATGAAACATACACCGATTTAAAGTATATAACTTGATCTAATCCAGAAATGTAAATCCCGATATATAGGGGGCGTGGCATCTGACATATAGACTAAAATGTGAAAACCACTATATCTCTAAAACTTATTATGCTGGAGAATTGAAACTTAGCACAGATGCATAAATTGTAAATACCCTACTTACGGCGAAGAGTGCTAGATAATGGGAAAGGGGGCGTGGCACTGCCCATACTAACTCAAATTCTCATATCGCTTATCTCTGCAACCGCTTATGCTAACTTCCCGAAAATTGACACAGCAACATATGTTGTCAATACCGTACTTACGGGCTTATTTACAGTTTGAATTGTTTGACATATCATTCAGTGATGAACATCTCATCTATACATATACATATACATATTTTTTATAAATGAAAATCGAGGTTCCTCTTTCGGTCTATTTCCAAAAGCTACTGAGGAGGAGACTTGGTAGAATTAGCATTAATCAATCCGGTGTTAACGCTCATAGATCGATTTTCTCCTATAAATTCGCTATAGATTATGGTGGTGGACTTCAAAATAGTATTTCGCATAAAGGACTTAGTATTGGTGACGGGTAAAATTCGAAAGTGTATGAAAAAAGATGTCGAATTTCGACAACTGGACGATACTAGTATTATTAAATGCGTGGTTAGACAAGAACAAGAAGGCAAAAACACGCCTTCTTACAGGGTTGAGTGTAACATCAAACACATTGTGCACCGGGAAGGGCAACATTTTTTAGAAGTAACGAAATCGCCACAAGCGTCAAATATTTTTAATTTTTGATATGCCTTGGATGAAGGTGAATCTCACGTCAAACTAAAATAATATAGGCCCGTATTAAGAGTTGCATTAGATTTTCGATCTTCGATAACCCGCGAATGTGAAATTCGTATTATAAGCTATGCAACCGCGTCGAAATTTTCGATGAGTATCGAATTTTCTGTCGAAAAGATTTTTGCTTTCAATGCTGTAGCATTGTAAACGTGAAAAAATTTATGATTTTGCGTTGGTTTACTTACTTCGTGGCGGCTAGAGGCACGATTACGATAACCGGGCGTAAAAATTTGACTATGCTATTGGAAATCTGGGTTCCTCCACTTTTCAAATATACCCACTTTTAGGTTTCAGGGACTTCTAGTGAAGTACATAACCGATTAAAAAAAAAGTAATGTGCCAAAATAAAGATAATTAATTTATGTTTCAGTTCATGGACCTCATCCCCCGGCTAGACACTAATTTTAAACAATATTTATAAATTTCATGTAGGTCATCAATATGTCCATAGATGTGTCTACTGTAAACTGCGTAGTATGTTTCCATTATTCAGTCTATCAGCCCGATTCTTAATACTCCCAGGGAGTAGAATTTTCCCCGAAAACTTGGGAGAGGGAAATTCGAACTTCGAAGAAGCTGTTTGACACTTTTTTGAGGGCTCAACTCCGCCATTTAATATGAAAAGTCCTCAGGGAATTTTTCTTTCGTGATACGAGGAAAGGGAAAAGAGAGAAAACTCCCAGGGCGTTTCTGTTCAGAAACAGCCTGTATAGCTGGCAAGATAGAGAGATAGAGAGGGGAAGAGTGATGCACTTCCGTTGCACCCTTTCGTAAAGGATTTTCAGTTATGAAATGTTTTTTTTTGTCTTTTTAGATGAAATTGTGCGGCCGCATACTATTGGATGTTTGGCGTTTGATGCGCTCAGAAATTGCGCTCACTTCGTACAAATTTGAAAATATCATGTATCACATTCTACACAAGCGCTGCCCTGCACACAGTCATCGCGCACTCACCGAATGGTTCGAGGTGCCCAATACGCGATGGATTGTCATTGAGTACTATGTTGAGCGTGTGCGCGGTACGCTCGCGTTGCTGGAGCAGCTGGATCTCATTGGCCGCACCAGTGAGATGGCGAAGCTGATAGGTATACAATTCTACGAGGTACTGTCGCGTGGCTCACAATTTCGCGTTGAAAGTATGATGCTCAGGTGGGTAGACATTAGGGTGCGTGCCTCGGTTTTTCCAAACCGGTTTACACAATTTTTTTTCGATATATGTACCTATCACACGTTTAATAACATACAGAATAATTTAAAAATTTCAATTTTGTGAGCAAACGCAATCAAAGTTTGATCAGTTCATACAATGGGTATACCATATGTGACCAACTATTTTAAAGCTCAGAGAATTACAGGTTTGGTTGGGGTTAAGTTAACGCCGCGAGCCGATTACGGAATTTCGAAACTTGGGTCCCTTAGAGCTCAGTATTTTTTCCATCTTAGCCTCGCTAAGGTCGGACTGTCTAAAAGTAAGTGTGGAGTTGATTCCACTTCATCTTCCTCTTGACAGCTGATACAAAAGGATCCGTCGAAATTCCTAGTCTCACCGCATGAATACCAATCGCACACTGGAATGTCAGAACCCCCTTCACTAGCCCTTGAGGTAACGTGTTTTAAAGTGCCCTATAAAAACATTTGCATATCAGTGTCTCTAGCGTTTTTAGCAAAAACGAAGAGACTGATAGGCCTAAAATCCCTATGGGAAACATGAGCAATTTTTCCAGTCTTCGGGATGTACCCAACCAACGATACCTTTAGAGCTCTTTGCAGCTGCGCAGGCATGATGCCATCAGTCCCCGGCGACTTTAATGGCTTGAACGAATTTATCGCCGAGGCCATGTGACGAGCGTCCAGAAGATCGAAGAAGTATAATATATCACAAAGAAGTACATTTGACTGTACTTCGAAGTACGAAGTACAAGAGCGAAAAAAGAAGTACTGTACTTTCGAAAGAAGTACGGTTGGTCACATTAGGTATACCAAAAGACAGATGGAAAGACACATATCTTGGCCATTTTTGGGAAGTTTAGTCCGCTGTTAGGCTGAGAATATTCGCCTTATCTGGGTTATTAATTGTATGTTCAAATCTTCAAAAACGTAAATTTTGAGTTACATCTCTATAATAATGAACGTGCGATATATAGGCGGTTTTTTTTGTAATCTTAATTTTTCGAATATCGGAAAAACCAGATTCTTTTTATTGAACAACCCGTTTTTTATTTCACATAAATCTTGACCTCTCAATAAAAGTTTACGAGTTTTTCGAAGTTTTCAAGGCTTTTTCAAGTGGACTACTCATTTGGAGATGAAGAGTATATAAAATTTGATTCCAATAAATGAATGTTTAGCGCTCCTGCGTTGATGTTGTGACACAAATGGAGAGATCTACCTTTTCACCCCACCTCCGAAGATGTTTTTTTATTGAACAAGTACACTCGCTATTTGAAAAAATTTTTTTTTTTTGAATTGTTGCTGGAACCAGAAATTGAACCATGGACCTCCCGTGTGGTAGTAGGCACATCTAAGAACTCGACCATGACGGCGCGGTCAGAAAAAATGTAAAAAAGTTAATATAGGACCAAACGTGAATTGTTCACTGATTTTAATTTGCTTAACACTAACTTGAAACCCGGTTTTGGAAAAATACGTATAATCGAACATCCGGTACAAATAAAATAATAAAAAGTAAACTTATATTTTTCATTTGAAGGATAGCAAAGCCTCGTAATCTGGTACCACTGTCGCCGAGCGTACAGCAACGCGCACACATGAGAGCCCCTGAATATTTGCCTCTCATTTTAGAACCGCAGTCGCGGTTTTACTCGGATCCAGTCATAGTATTGGATTTTCAAAGTCTCTACCCGAGCATGATAATCGCTTATAATTACTGTTTTTCCACTTGCCTAGGACGTGTGGAACATCTAGGACAGTAAGTATTCATTTTACCTCACCTCTTGCGCGCCTACAATACATTTTTTTCTTATTAAATAATTAAATAATTAATTAAATCCACTTTTGTGCAGCTCTCCCCCATTCGAATTTGGAGCGTCACAGTTGGGCGTTTCGCCAGCATTGTTGCGCCGTTTGGTGGAAGATGACCTCATTTCCATATCGCCCTGTGGTGTGGTGTTCGTTAAAGCCTCTGTTCGCGAGGGTATTTTGCCGCGCATGCTCAGTGAAATCCTGAATACTCGTCAAATGGTTAAGCAATCCATGAAGTTGGATAGATCGAACTCTGCGCTACAGCGTGTACTACACTCCCGTCAGCTGGGTCTCAAACTCATGGCGAATGTAACTTACGGATATACGGCGGCTAATTTCAGTGGCCGCATGCCGGCTGTCGAAGTGGGCGATTCGGTTGTTGCAAAAGGCCGCGAGACGCTAGAACGCGCCATACGAATGGTCGAGTCGAACGAAAAGTGGCGCGTGCGGGTCGTGTACGGTGATACTGACTCGTTGTTTGTGCAGGTGCCTGGACGAAACCGGGAGACGGCTTTCAAAATAGGCGAGGAAATCGCAGAGGCGGTCACCAAAGACAACCCGCAGCCGGTCAAGTTGAAGCTGGAGAAAGTGTATCAGCCCTGTATACTGCAGACAAAGAAACGTTATGTTGGCTACATGTACGAAACAGCAGATCAAACGGAACCCGTGTACGAGGCTAAGGGCATTGAGACAGTGCGCCGAGACGGCTGTCCGGCTGTTGCAAAGATGCTAGAGAAGGTATTGCGCATCCTATTCGAAACGACGGATGTGAGCCAAATCAAACAATATGTTTGCCGCCAATTTAGTAAACTGCTGGCTGGACGTGCCAATTTGCAAGACTTAATATTTGCGAAGGAGTTCCGCGGATTGAAGGGTTACAAGCCGACCGCATGCGTGCCGGCGCTGGAATTGACGAGGTTTGTAAAAATACAAACGATAATAATTATTGCCGAAAATTGATTTGCTCCGTTTGTAGAAAATGGGTACAGAGTGATCCGCGCCGAGTGCCGCGTTGTGGTGAGCGCGTTCCATTCGTAATTGTCAACGGACCACCAGGCGTACCATTGATACGGCTTGTGCGCAGTCCGCATGAAGTACTCGAGGACGAAGGCTTGAAGATCAACGCTGTTTATTACATTACCAAGGCTATTATACCTCCTCTTAATCGCTGCCTCCTTCTCATTGGAGCCGATGTGAATGAATGGTAAAATATTCGGCGAATTATATTGAAATAAACTTTTGATTGTCGCATTGTACCATCCATCCCAGGTTCGCTAGCCTACCGCGAAAACTTCTACTCGCACCACCAGTATCCGCAGCTAATAAACTCAATAGTGGTAATTATGTGGCTACAGCGCATCAGCCGAAGAAAAGCACAATTTCACAGTATTTCTCAGTTACGAATTGTATAACTGACTGTGGGCGCCAGACAAAGCAGGGCATCTGTGAGGTATGCGTACAACAACCACAACGAACATTTGTTACGCTGCATGCAAAAATGGCTAAAATTGAACGGGGTTATCAGCTGGTGCAGCAGATATGTCAAGCATGTTGCGGGCGAGTAGGAGAGTTGAATTGCTGTTCCCTCGACTGCCCAGTATTGTTTGTTAGTGAGGTGAAGCGGCGAGATCTACAGCAACTCGAACATATGCGCAGTCTCTTAGACGAGAGGTTTTAATTTTTATATGGAATGTCGTACATGGATGCGTAAAAGGCAACAGGTTTGGACGCGTCACAGGTTGACCTCTTCACACTTTATTAAATCAATATCAGGTTTAAAATTTCCAAGTATTTTATTAACATTAGTGCTCAAAATGTATCGAGCCCATGTGAAGAGCGTAGGGAACATGCATGTATTGTATTAAAAAATGTCACAACTTGTACGTACATAATTATGTACTCATGTACGAATGCACACCATGATGATGGTAGTATTGTTACATTACTGTTTTTTTTTTTTTACAAATTACAAAATAAAATTTTGCCAATAGATGTACAATTAATAATTTGTGATTTGTTGTTTAATAAATAAAGTAAGGTAATCGCTGATTTGTTTTCCCTTACATTTATTAATTAATTTTAATAATTTTATGACACTCATGCAAATGTGATTGAAAGGTGCTCCAATAATCCATAAAGCCAATTTACAATTTCTTTAAACGCTAAAAATTTCATAGCAATTCGAACAATATCTCAATCAGTGTATAATCATGATTGTTTACAATAAAAAATTGCAAACAATTCTGAACATAACAAAAATCTATTGCATGCAATTATCCACATTTAAAATGTTGGTGCATATATCTATCTAATGCATGGGCAGCGCGGTTCCAAATATTTTGAGCATACAAATTACTTAATGACGTTATACATTTAAGGCAAAATTCAATTGTAAATATACATACAAATATTGAAAAAAATAATAATATATTGTAAACGTGTGTGGTGCAAATTTCTGCATAAACGAATCCTTGCACGGCTATATAGCTACTAGGTAGGCTCGTTAGAAGTGTGAAACAATGATAACGGTTGACGGGTGGGTTTGTTTGTGTTGCTTTTGTAATTGCGCACCACTTACATAAGTGTGTCGCTGCTTAATAATGATTGTGTTTGTGTTTACTAGACAACTACATGTCCATTTCAAACATCATAGCGTTCTTGTGTGCATCGGCATCCGACGATTCCTGAGACTCCAGACGTGAACGTGCCGATTTGTGGCCACCCTTTGCTGCGAAGTGTTGCTGTTTGTTGGCAGTGAATTTGTTGGCATGTTTGCCACTAGCATGTGTCGGCTTATGAATACTGTTGTCGGCATTATCGCCGCCGCTGGATTTCGATGCGAAGTACGTTGCATGAGACTCAGCAAAACCCAGTGGCTGAAAGGAGACCAAAGGGGAATTGTTAGAAGAAAGTAGCAATAAAATACATATTTCTAAAAAAAGAACTTTATTAAATCGAATTATGCAGTTTGTCGTTATAATGCCTCCCTTCTACTCTATTATATATGTATGTATATGTATGTGCCTACACACACACATTCACACCTGCGGCGAATGTTAATAGCATATCGATGATGGGGAATAAATATGCAATAACAACATTGGGCACTGAAAAGACTATAAACAAACGATTTCAGAAATAACATTGTCCTACTTTTGCAGCGAAATGCTACAATCGGTGCAGTAATTAAGCTAAGAAATAAACAAAGGCGCTGAACAAACAGTCGACGAGTGATTACGAATAAAATGCACGAGTGACCGTCTCATATTTACGTAAACATGTCGGTACATACATATTAACACAAGAGATTTGTATAATTTAAGGAATAAAATCTTGAATGGCTAAATTGGCGTGCGCCAGACATACAGCCGCAGACGGGGCGACAAGTGGCCCTTGTTAACGTACACTATATACATACATATGTAAATACATACATACATATATACTACGTATATCGGTGGTTGTTCATCATCTGTAAATGGGTACATCAAGTGGGCATCGCTATCATTAGTTTATTTATTTTCCTTTAGCAAGTCGCTGTTCATATTTATATAATACCTACATATATACATACATACTATTTACATATGGGTGTTTCCATAAAAATTTAGAATTAGACGGTTATGGTACTATGTATTCATTTCCTTTGCATAACTGCTTTGTCTTTAGATTTAAAATAACCAAGCACACACTCACCTTACTGTTGTCTTCATAATCAGCGGAATCGCCTTCGCTGAGGCGACGCTGCAAAGCACGTTGTTTGCGATCACGACGTTTTTGATTCTTCTTTCGTTGCCCCAAAATACTAGAATTTAGCCTAAAATGAAAGCAGAATGTAAATTTAAAAGTAATTTAAGCACACAAAACAAAAAACAAAAAAATAGATCATTTATATTGAATAAACGTTGCTCAATTGTTTTATTAGCCGCTCAACGAATTCAATTAATTTATAAATTGAGCAATTTAGCGATAAAAAAGTCCATATTTTGCTACAAAAATTGAAGTAAATATTACTTGTTTTAAGTTTTTATTTCAACTCAAAACAAAAACTCACCTAAACACTTGCTCCTTGATAACCTCATTAAATCTAACAGTCTTTTTGCAACTCTCCGAAAGTCCATTGGAGACATTCTCCTCTGGTATGTCGCTGAATGATTGTGAGAAGCGCAAACTGCTCCCCACGCCACCGTCCACAGAGCACGAGAACGACGAGCATTCATCGATAGACGAACAGCTATCCGAAATCGACGGACGCGGTCCATAGCGGCTGTAGCGTTTCAAAATGCCCTTAAAAGAGGGAGGTAGAGTAGAGCCACCGCTACTCACAACGCTATCGCCACTACGGCACTCCGAATAGCTTCGCTGCTTTCGTTGTTGCATGCCATTTGGTACAGCCACCGACTGTGTTTGCGAAGCGGGCGCAATCACGTCGGAGCGTTCTGGTGATGAGTTTTCATCCGGCGAGTTGGACGAATCACCGTTTATAGTTTTGGAAGCCTCTTTTAGAAATTGTTTCTGCTGTTCCTGCTGTTGTTGCTGCTGTTTCTGATACACTTTAATATCATCGCACACAGATTCGGAAAGAGAGCGGCGTTTCTTATTTTTCTTCTTTTGTTTTTTACTCATTTTCTTCGGAGCCGCTTCGGTTGCATGGGGTAGCCCATCCTCGTCTTCGGTTGTGTTGGCCGTACACGTGGACTGAGTTTCGTTAGTTGGCTTTATTTCAATTTCGACAGAGCGCTCACATTCCGAACGTTCCACCGAAATATCCAGTGAGGAAGAAAGTGATATCGGTGGCGTTGGTGGTGACTTCTTACGCGATTGTCGACACTTGTAGCCTATTGGTAATTTACCCTTTATGGTGTACTCTTTCAGGTCACTGGCATCGATACCGACTAAGTAGTTTTGTATACTCTCACAGGAGGTGGCTAAATTGAGATTCAGTACTACATTATTTTCCCAAGCCTCAGCTTCGCAAGAGGATATTTGCGCATTGCAGGCCTCGGGTAGTTGCAAGTAAAATGCGTAATGTGTGGGATAATAGCCGCTACCAATCGAGGAAAACTGCAGATGTGCACTCTTCATACTTTTGAGCATTACAATTGATTCCGGCTGCACATTGCGGACATGTAGGACCAAAGACATAACGTTGTCTAACACATTGCAATCGAATTTGGGGGGCAGCTGGTACTGAATGGAGCTTTTGAGGAAATTGCTTGGAACACTAACCGTCGAAGATAATTGTGGTGTTACTCCAGTAGGCACGCACGATCCAAGTGCTATGAAGTAATGAATGGAAAAATATACTTTGAAATGATTTTGGCATTTTTTAACATTAATAACAGACCTAAAATATTTAATTCATCATAAAAATTAGTGCACCTGGGCTACACTACGAAAATGAAACTTCACTCGACAAATTTTTTGTTCGTTTCATGTATTATATATGTATGTATTTATGTTTATAAAGCGGTCGAACAAATTATCGCCGCACCACATTTTGACAAGTTTAAACATTTTATTTTTTTGGTTATTTTTTTTTATAAAACTAAAGTTTTTTCTTTAACAAAACCCGTGAAAATCCAAGTTTCAAACTTTATGCAATATAAAAAAAAAAATCTACAAACTTTCGTAAAAATTTCCTAGAAAAATTCAGAGTATGCCGTTTTGCACCCCACTGAATTCTAGTAGAATGAAGTACAAGTTTCAAATGGCTAAAAATTGCCGCTGAATTTTTCGATTTTGTTGTCGAAGATGTTACGGTTTTCTTCTATGCAAAAATTAATTGTGTGGGACAAAAAAGTCAACGGTAATTTTTAGCCATTTGAAGATTGTCCTTTATTCTACCCGAATTCAATGGGCTGCAAAACTGCATACTCAGAATCTTTCAAGTAAATCTGTTCTTTTAAGTTGGCCTTGGGACCAAATTATTATTAGTTTTAAGTTAAATGTTATCTAGTCTGTTAGGTTCTGTAAAACCATAGATTTAAATAAATGAGTAAAATAAATAAAAAAGCTCGAAATTTTGACGAGTTTGTTGAATTTTTTCGTGACAATTCTTTAATTCATTATCGCCGGTAAAGAAGTTTCCCTTCAAAAATCCGTCGATAAATACATTTAGAAACCGTTACCTTTATATTTGAAACGTGCAAAAATTACATCCAAATTATACTCACAGTTTGCATTGTCGCCTGATGTGGTGTTGATGTTTTCCTCAACCGCATCACTTAGCTCTTCAACCGGTGATTCGCTATTTGTCTGCAAATTTGCATCTTCGCGAATGTCACTCTCAACGCCGCTGTCCTCGCGATTAAGTTGAAACAGTGTATCGTGCATAGCGCGTTGCTTTTTTGGATTATTCTGCACAACTGGCAGCGTAATAGCCAACTGTCGCTTATCCGTATCGAATCGTGCCTGACCGCGTTTGTCGTTCACAGCATAAGGGAGATCTAAATTGAGGCGATACTTGGCACCAGAGCGTTCGCTCAATAAATATAACGACTTGGCAGTCACGTCTAATTTGCAATCGGCAGTCGACTTGAGTAGAGGCAACTCAATCTCAATGACCAGCTCACGTGGTACCGTCACACTCAGCTTAGCATCCAATTCGTAAGTGTATTCGGTGAGATCAATGTCACGACGATGCTTGATGACGTATTTGGGAACGTTGAATTCGGGGTTTGTTGTTGAATTCTGTGTTTTCATCGGTATTAATTTAGGTGTGTCAGCATCAGCTGAAGGTCTCGCCGGCGATATGTCATCAAGTGGATGTGGTTCAGCCGACTCCGATGGAGCATTTTTGGATAATTTTCGTATCACAATTGGCCGCGCCATGCCCTTAAATTGCAGTTTCGGAAATTTCAAG